TATATATTGTTTTTCGTTGACAAAATCAATTTGAAAAAATTTTTTTTTTTCAATTTTACTTTTTTTTAATAATTGTATTTTGATAACTTTTTTTTTCTCTCATTAAATTACCAACGTCTTACAAGATGAGAAGAACTTGAGATGATATCAGCAATGAGTGTATTTAATATAAGTCGTAAGTATAACGTTGTTAGATAAAGAATCGTGTATCAACATTTTTGCCAAATATCCTTTGTTTTCTAAATTCCTGAGACATTCAATGTGTCCATTATTGCTCCTTCAATTTGTGATAATAATTTCAGGAGCTGGTTGTTTATAAAGCACATTTCAACATTAAATGAAAAATTAAAACCAGCGGAATCGAGAATTAATAGTTTCTTTCATGATCATAATCCTATAACATTTTTTCTAAACAGAGAGTATTCGATAAATATCCCCCCCTTAAACGAGCAGTTTGTTTTAAAAGAAAATTTTCGCATTACATAGATTACGTAAAATATTATCTCTTATTTCTAAAGCTTTTTGTTGAATTATGAAGAATTTATCTTATACAATTGATTTTTTTTTTCACCCGCACACCACTCCAGTTGATTTTTATGGGCACCTTCTACCACCGTAGTGTGGAGGGTGTTGATCCTACAGAGCCTATCTCTGGATCGCCTTGTGGTAACGTCCTCCCTTCTTTCCACCCCTGTGACCCCTAACTTTTCCTACTGATCCCGCACCTACCAAGGGCGTCCGTGAAGTGTGACCCCCACATCGCCCTGTGGTGCAGGATCAGCCACGAGGCTTGGGAATGAATATCGGACGGAAACCACTCTTGAAAAAACTTTCCCAAGAATTGCACTGACCAGGATTCAAACCTGCGCCTCGCTTGAGTAGCCGTATCTCTATTGATCAAGACTTGCGCCTTAGCCAACTGAGCTACGACCGGTCTTATATAATTAAGTTTACTTTTATTATTAGTTTTCCGATTCCGATTTTTATGAAACGGTTTCCCATGATTAAAAATAGAAGATAAACCAAAAGTTTTATGGTAGGTCATACTTTTTGGAAGTTAAACATATGCACTTCCTATTCAAGGCCATGGAACCATTTAGTTCCTTAAAAAATAAAATTATAAATTCATGTTTGGTATAGTAATGTTTTGCCTAATCATCCAGGACCGTTCATGGTTTAAGCTTTGTCATTTTGTTTGAATATCATTAAGAAATAATTTTTGTTATCTCTGTTGGATTAAATAAACATCATATTAAAAATTTATTTATAGAATATCATTTTTTTAGAATTCTGATGTTGTGAAGCATATATTTTTGGCATTAAGCAGAAGACAAGATTTATCTTCTGGTTTAAGTTGAAAGTTTTTAAAATAATGTTACTATTCGTCTTCCATTTAAAAATGATGTTGCTCCTTGTATTGAATTTATGATAAGTTAAATAAGAAAAAACATGTCTGATAAATGAGGTAAACGATTTTGATTTTTTTTTACACTATAATAAATACATTTTTCAAGAACATTAACGTATTTCAACCTCTCACTGTTGTAACTTAAAATAAGTGTCCTGTAATTTGTATTATATAGAAGTGTTCATAAAAATTATCTACAAAATTTTTTCAATTGAAAAGGTTAATGAAATGAATTTTTTATTTTCTTTCCAAATTTTTTGTCGCATACGTACTACTGTTACAGTCACTTAAAAGAAACTATTATTTTGTATGTGAATAAGTTACAACTGTTAAGCAATTAAATTTTTAAGTAATCAATACCATAAAAGCTCCAACGACCTCTCATGCATTGCATGGTATGATGGTGAATTAAGCGTACCTATACAGGATAGCGTCCAATATTCATTCAGTTGTTCATCATCTCTTCAGAAATAACAAATTTTCTTGTCTTGACACTTCGTGTGGTAATGTCATTACACTCTCTAAACAGTCTCCTTCTCTTTACATTACTCAAATTTTATTGCAGGGTACTATAAGCCTACACACTAAGACACAGTGTACAGAAGCAATAAGGTTAATACAATTTTTACAACTTATGCGCTCATTTGAGAGTGCTCTATCATCTTGGGGTAAAAAAATCACTACAGCAAGTTACATTTCCCCTAAAAATATGAATGATAATCACAGTGGTTTAAGAAATTCTCCTGTTTTGGTTTATTCAGCACCATTGTCAAGTTTATAGCTATAAACTCTTTTTTGTAATAACTCTGCTTCCCTATTTTTGTAGAGCTTCTGTTTCAGTACTATAACAGAAGTATTAATCCTGACCGAGTTTTTGAATTTACAATTCATAACTTTAGGTAAGATGAAACTTACGCTCAAACCACTGTGCGCATGCTCGGGCAAGCACGTAATCGTTATCTTAGGGTATAGGTTTATCTAAATTTAGTTTACTTAAGCTAAAGTTACAATTAAAAATAAATGATAGTTCAGTTTATTACCAAGAAGGATGTATTACTTTTTAAGCAGGCTCGAACATGGGAAAGGCTATTGAAAAATGGGAAGACTTAATTGGCAAGCATGGAAGATAAAAAGTAACAATTTATTTTTTCACTCAACAAAAGAAAACTCAATATACTTAACAAATCTTTTATACATACTAGTGGGGCTCCACCTTCGGTGCGCTTTGTGTACCAACCCCCCAATTTTTTAAAATCAGTTAAATACTTCATTTTTTCAGTTTGCCCTCGAAAGTTAAAAAAATACCAAAATATTTGTAAAGTAGTTTAAGGTAAAACATCCAATAGCTGGACAGAAGCATCATGGGACGAAGTTTGGTCTTTGATTACAACGAAGAACCGAGTTATAATAGATCCAAAGCAGTTGTAAACTTTAGCTTGAATTTTTCTTTATCGATCAAAAAAAAAAAAAAAATTAGTATCCCCTCTCTCCTGAAAACGCATAGGTACGATGGAAAAAAGCCAGCGGCCTTCTTGCGTTTGCTCCATGGCTAACGCTTATGCTCAAGAGCTATAGACTCACATGCATTGAAAGCATAGACGTCGTGAACCAATCGCAAAGGGTAAAAAATGGGAGCATTTCCATCGCCGCTATGCGATTGGTCCATGATTTTTCTCTCTGTGTAAATTGGAACTGTTATGTGAATGCCCACGTAGCGGGCGGTTATAGATTAGTTTCGGGCAAAGTGTGCATAGTGTCATTTTTTTTCAGTTGGTATTCGATACTCAAAATAAAGTATTAAAAACAAAAAGGTAATCTGCAAAATTATTCTAGCAAGTATAACAACTTAATTACACTTTTAACAATGCATTCTTTTTTCTATAAATTAAAATAAGTATGATTTAATAAAGAATAAAAAATACATGTTAAGTTTTAGTAAAATCTGTGGATAGAAAGTATTTGAGAGTATTCGATAAATATCCCCCCCTTAAACGAGCAGTTTTCCTCAAACTNAAAATACTATTTGTTCCTTGAATATGTGTGATTGTTATAATTTAAAATTTAATTAAATACCACCAAAGATAATCTTAAAGATATAAATTGCAAATCTTCTATGTCAAAAATCTTTTATCTAAAGAAGAAAAGAATGAATCTAGAAAATCCTTTTGCAGTGCTCCAAGCTAAGATGATAAAGAATAGGGAAAAACTGCAAAAAGTTTTTAAATAAGAAATCGTAACATCAAAATTGGAAAAAAAATCTTGTTAAAAAAAATGTTTCCCGAATTCAAAAACTTACTGAATTACCATTCTATTATTCGATACCTGTATAAATGTTCTACTTATAATGAAAGATTCAATAAAATACTACTTTACAAGAAATTTCAAGTTTTAATTTCGAATTTAAAATATGAATCAACCTGATATTTTGAGAAGAAAAGTTATAATCATAAAAGTCTTTAAAAAAATTATCAAACTTACAAAATACCGGGGACTAATAATGTATAAAAATGGCTCATTTTTCTTAATAACTGTAGTTTAGTGACTAACGCAACATAACTATATAGTTTTTCTCTTTTAAAATATTAGGTTTTAACATGGAAAACAGCAATATTTTAGCTTTTAGGTTATGTCAGGATGCATGTAACTCAATCTTTTGTTGTAATACTACCATATATGCAAGGAACTATTTAAAGAAAGAACATTCAGCCATTTTTACGATATTTTTAGAAATTTTTTTTCAAAATTTCTTCCTTAAGTCATAATTTAAAGGTTAGAATTTCACATTTCATAATTTACGACAGTTATTCTATATTCTCCATAATCTCAGCTCTAAGCTTTACGTAGAATTTTCCAAACTCATCTCTTTCTTTTCAAAATATTTAGCTTTTAAATCTTATTATCCGAAATCTTTCACTGTGCGCCATATTAAATCCGGTAATATAACCTATGATGGTTATGTCGTTAGACGTGCATTATTGTTGTTCTTCAACTTAATCAGACAATTGATTTTGAGTAATTTACAGCAGTAAGAGCACAGTTGGTTAGAAATTTATTTAAACTTTAATGTTTGAGGTTATGTTAAATCACTTTAGACTTCTTACAATAATTTGTTTATGTATTTTTCGACTCCATATTAACTGTAACTCTTTTTGAAAATGCTTACATAAACAAATCGTCCATTTAATAAGACTAGTATCATCGGTTTATTAAAAAATTTCAAGAACTTGTTTATTTGTGAGGTTAGATTAACATCTCACCTTCCAGCTATAGTTTTCCTTTGTTCGCTATGCGATTACCTACGAATTAAAAAAAAAAATTATTGTCCTACGTGTTTTCTAACTGGAGATATTAGATTTCGAACATAGTTACCTCCATTTTCATCGTTTCAGAATATAGTGCGCCGCTCCGATTATATGCTGTCTTAGTGCTTTGGTATCTGTTGCGAGAACTCATTATTGTATTCTGTTGTACTACCGGTTTGTATTTGATAAGGAATGTGTGCATATAAAATATAGAGTGCAATATAGTGAAAAACAAATAGTAGTAAACCAATTGATATGTGAAATAAGGATAACAATTTTCATTTGTAAGAATCATTTAATCAATTCTATTTTCAAGCAAACTGAAGTACGTTAATATCTATGTCAGTTGATTATCGACACACATGAAATTAAGAGGATGTCTTCCACTGATTACAATGCATTGTAATTTTCAACGTGGTTGGTACACTTTTCCTGGTGTGAGGTATTCAGGTTGAGACTTCCTCCTGAAAAAAAATTATAGCATGTACTTAAAGAAAAATCATACATATAGCGATATTTATTATGAACCCGTTACGTATTAATAACGTATTAACTTTTTATAAATTAATGTATGAATTTCTTTTTTTATTGATTTTTAGTTCAAAAAGTGTGTGTGCTCAACATAAATTATTGTAATGACTGCTTCAGTCTATATATAATTTTAGTGCATTCGGGCCAAAAAGTACTTCAACATAAGCATCAATTTTACTTTTCGTTCTTGATAAGAAATGAAATAATAGTAAAAATAAGACTAAGTACTAAAAACAAGTTTTAATTACGAAAAATAAAAGTATAAGATAATTTTTTTCTAAGCTACCCATATTACACGATAAGTAAAAGCTTAGGATCCATAGATTTTTAAAGGAGAAATATCTAACCTCACAAAGATCTAATTATATGTATAGAACTTTAAAGATGGTTTTCAACGAGCGCACGGAAATTACTTCGATTACTATAATAGTGCAATTAATTTCCGATCGATGCCACAGTTCAAGTGTCTAAGGTAAAGAGCACGTCATCAGCCTTACTGATAAGTCCAGACATTCTCTCAGAATGAAATGCATAACTGATCAACAATATTTTCTTTCTTTTTCTAATAGACAACAAGATATCTTGATTCGTGACCTCAACAATGAAGAACATCGTTAGCCTTTGACAATACAGCAGGACTGCTCCTGAGATCTCACACCTCCGCTTTATCAACGCCCACGAAAAAAAACTTTGAAATTTCACAGCCTCAATGAGAACTGGACTCTGACAGTTCAAGTGTATTAAACTGTTAGCGTTTGAAAAGTTAAACTCTAAGCGTACGAGACAGCTTGAACTGTTACAAACCAAGTATTGCTTATCATAGCATCTAATATTTGTATTTAAACGGTTCAGCACTGCGTCGGGTTGTGAGAGCTTGAGGAGTGGGGTGCCACAGTTTGATCATTTTTACTGATGGATGTTGCAAGTTATGGTGGGCTAAGCTCCAGCAATCGGTGCCTGACAGTAAAAACAATCAAGCGGCGGTGCCCCATTCCTCGGGCTCTCACAGCCTACCGCAGTGCCAAACCCTATGCGTTCGAACATTGGAGTGTGTAATTTGGTTTGTAAGAATTCTAACTGTTTTGTACTCTTAGAGTACTAATTTTCGTGTCTGATGAGTCAGATAATTGTACTGTAATAACCCTGGGTATTTTTGAACTCTTAGAGTTTAAGCTTTGGTGTTATCATAGTACCAAATTATTTTCAGTGCAGGAACAAGCAACACATAACTGTCTTTTTCTGCTACTCTGTGGTCGTTGATGTTGTGCTGTAGATATGTGATTTTTGCGCGCCTTGCGGGCTGCTCTCGTGCTTCCCTTGTTATTGGCCATTGAGACTTGTATTTGTTACTCTGTGTGTTAGCTGTGATCTGTAAACTTGTACGTTTGTAAAGTTTATGTTCATGAGGTAACCACGAGTAACACTTTACCGTATTGTGAATTTGAATTTTGTCAGATGATGAATTAAGCAAAATGGGTTCTCAAACGTTTAGCGCATCTAAGTGGCACCCGTAAATCGTACGCGGCTGTTGCTGCTGCAGGTTTTTTTCCATCTTGATGACTTTTACATAATTTGTATGAAAAAATGTTTAGATTCAGCATTGCAATATAAACATTTATATGGCTATCTACACCTCTAATCACAAAATTAAAGTTTTTAGGTAANTTATTACCCTTTGTTCTGTTTGAAATGCATTTACTCTTAGTATTAGCATTTTTCATGATTATTCATCATTATTTGATAAATCTCAACCACGAAGACCATAAAAAGATAATTCTATTTTTTTTTACATATAATTTCTGAAAATTTTTTTTCATCTTGATTCAAGTTACCGTTAATATATTTAGTCATTTTTGTACAAAATGCAATTTCATTAAAATTATCATTTTCCTCGGATGAAATATTTACAGGAATCGGTAAACTGACTAATTCACAAGACTTATCTTCCAATCAGTTAAACCGATAAAAAGCACGATTATGTTTATTATCGATAAAACCTTCACTAAAATTATCTTTATTATTGTCTCATATCTTATCCATTTGTATATTCATTTGTTATGGGGGGCAAAGCCCTACTTATATATGTAATTATATAAATAATTAACTAACTAATTATATAATTAATTAAATAATTGGTTATATAATAATATATATTTATTAATATGTATAAGTGTTTATGCAAAGGTTATTTTTGCGGACACTTACATATATGGGAGGGTAATTATAGGGATAAAAAAGGAATTATTTGGACGTCCGCATAATTCCACCATGTTACTGATACATGTGTTGGAAGCACGTGAAGTCTGCATAAGTCACTTTCTATAAACGATACAAACATGTGTGTAAGTATGTGTGTGTGTGTCATTTTGCAATAAGTGGTCAAATTTGTATCCCAAGCTAATGCTACTACAAGAAACTGAAATTCCATGTTTATATTGCGTGAACTTGTGTAAAAGTGTAAAACTATCATGGAAAAAACTTTCAAGCTTATACATTGGCTTTTCGAGGAGATACATAAAAAAATATAGTCGAACTGTTACTTTTGTATTCAGTTCCAATTTCGATTTCATGTTTCAAAGCACCGACTAGGGAAAAAGTAGCTTTTTTGCCATATCCTCGCACATGAATTCTAAATTAAAGACGTTGTATGTTACATTCATGCCATAATAACATTTATTTTTAATCTACAAGCAAGAGTTTTGACCAAATTTTAAATGTCCTACGATTCGAACAAAAATGTTGGTCATGGCGGAAATCGCTTTGGAATCCACAGTGCTATACCTCGTAACAACTTTGAGAGGACACCTTTTTTAATCTCACATTATGACAAGATACATGCACAAACGAAAGCTGTCAAAAATTCTAATCTTTTTAAGTGATACACATTTTAGTGTTTATTTTTTGTGTGTAAAAAAATTTTGGTCACTTCCACCCCCTCCCCCCTGGCTCCAGCACTTTTTAACTTATGCAGCTAAGAGAAAAAATTTTTCTTGTACTATTTATTGGGGATGTATGTTTTGTGAGCAGGAAATCGTTTATATTCACTCTAAGAGCCGCAATAGTACTTCAAAGATCGAAATGTTACTTCCGTACCCCTAAATGGCCAATGGCCACTTTTTTCCACTATTGTAGCGATAAAACGTAATAAACATGTTTCGACGTTTGGTCTAATTGGCCTTTTTCGTAAGATACATCGATGAATATCGATTCCAGTTCCGATAGTAGTAGTAAAGGAGTACACTATTTTAGGTAGTCCAAAATAGGCTCAGATAACTGTTAAAACAAAGCTCTATTGATTGAAATAAAAATTTGTCGAATTAACTGCCAGCAATCAAAAGTTATAAGGACTTTTTTAAATTAAGGATTTCAGGCAAAAATCTCATTTTTCGTAATTTTTGTCACTCCTCTTTAAACAGCTATTACTCTTTAACGGAGGCACTAAATGGAACTAAATTTTTTTTTAATCGATAGAGTTTAATCATAGCTTTAATTTAATTTGGGTTAGAACACTTTAACTACGCAAACAGCTTAGCTATATTCATCAGAAGCAAAGGTATTTTTTTTCAAGGCTTGACTGTAAGTGACTTATAAGAAATACATTATATCGATTGATCCAAACATTTTGTAGTAGAATCGCTTTGGATATTTGTTATGGGTGGTATTTGAGGTAGAACTACCATGAAAAACAATTTTTTCAACTAACTTTTTTTTAACGATTTTTTGAGGCATTTTGAGCCACTTATAGCAGATTCACCCATATATATATGTGTTGTTTATTTTTTAGCTGCTTTTAAACAGTAACAGATCATATTTATTATTAACGTTCATGTAAACCTTTTTTTTAAAAATCATACGGATGAGTGACACAATTTCTCGGAAAATGTTGCTATTAAATTTTTATTTTGAAGTTCGATTGCATAATGCACAAGATTTTGCATTGGGATACGAGGTTAAAGTTATAGTTAATTTTTTTTGGAGCTTTTTAAAACTAAAAAATCATATTGAATGTTAAAATTGATTCTAGACTTTTTTGAAAACACTATTTAGTTATATCAAGTTAATACATATTAGACTAATAAAATTTATTTGAATACAAAACATTATTGATCAAAAAACAAAGCGTGCGGTAGCATATAATGTGTGGCGGCCCAGCCGAAACATCCAGCGTCATCTTCCAGACGCAAGCAGAAGCTCTTACCTCGAGAACCCTTCTAGAGCAAGCTCACTCACTGATGCGCACGCAGCGCAAGCTGTCCCCATCTCTCTTCAACCTCAGGACAACGGACTGCTTCAGCTGTGGCGTTGGAGAAGAAGGCAGCGGCCGTTGTCTTGTGCTTGGGAGCTCGTGGAGCCAAGTTGGCCAGCGCGCAAGGCCTCTCCGCCGAGCCCAGCATGAGTGCCAAGCACTTTCACATTCTTATAACAACTTCCAAGTTAATCCTTTTTTATCAAGCAAATCTTATGTAGTAACTAGAGTTTAAGACGGTGATATGATTAATATAAAGGTTGCAACCAATTCAGTCTGTTTATTTCGTCTCGCACCTGCTCCTGATCATGCCTAACGTGCTCCCTAAAAATGTATCTTCATAAATTGAATTGTTTTCTATGGAATTTCAACATCAGACTTAGATTCTTCACCTGAAATTTCCAGTGGGAGGATCATTAAATCATCTACAATTTCTTCTTGATCAGCATCATCCTTAATTTTATTCTCGCTAATCTCATTGCGTAAAATCTGTCTCGCAGTTCAAGCAGTCGACTTCCCAGCAGTTTCAACAAAATTTTGAACATCTTAAGCCCTACTTGACGCAACAACAATTTGTTTTACCTCTACTGGTGCTACATTCATATACATGTACATATAAACAGTTTATCAGGTCCAGACCCATTTTTGATTTCGTAACCCTAAGACAAATGATTTAATTGGTTTCCA